GCTATTTTATTCTCAGTGGCTGGGATCCCCTAAAATTTGCATATTGTGAGAATTCCAGATTAAAAAAAATCCTTTTGTTAACACCATCTAGCATGTAAAAGATGTTACGTTACCTAATAAGGATTGCTTTAGTTAAGAAAAGTAAAACGATTTATTAATACTAAAATTTCTCTATATTTTGTTTTCGTCATTTAGAAACCTTAATGGTAATTAGAAGAACCATTTCTCCTTCCGTTCCCTTGACGATAAAACGTTCACATACCTGATAATCACACCCTCTTATTTTCAACACAAACTACACAAGAACAACAGATTCATAGAAATTCTACACCACATCCTATATAAATGTGCTTACAGTGAAAAAGAAGAGAAGAATGACATGATCCACATTTAACGACTAATTCTTCGCTGATAACCCTACTGATTAGCACCTTATCTCCTTATCTGATTACACCGGAGCTATGTGCTGATAAAGGCAAGATTCGGAGAAATAAGAATAAATGGAGACGGGAGAGAGGGGGAAGGGTAGAAACAGGTAAATGGGGAAGGGGGGGAGGGGGGAGGGAAGAACTGTGAGAAAAGTGAGTGCGGCAATTAGTGGTATTAATGATGCCGATGATAGTAATACTGATAGTGATGACAATAACATTGGTGATGATAATAATAACAATAGTGATGATAATGATAATAATAACGATAGTGATAGCAACGGTAATGATGATAATAACATATTAATCAATTCATTTCAGAAAGTAAAGAAACTTGAGCGGAGTGAAAGACTTTAATTTTGTACAGTGTTATGCTAGAGGAACAAAGTCAATGCCATGTCAGGGATTTGCAGGGATTAGTAGCGTAAGGATATCTGACAGCATTCTCCGCAAGAAAACAGTCATATATATATATATATATAACAACATATATATATATATATATATATATATATATATATATATATATATATATATATATATGTATGTGTGTGTGTGTGTGTGTGTGTGTGTGTGTGTGTGTGTGTGTGTGTGTGTGTGTGCGCGTGTGTGTGTGTGTGTGTGTGTGTGTGTGTGTGTGTGTGTGTGTGCGTGTGTGTGCGCGTGTGTGTGTGTGTGTGTGTGTGTGTGTGTGTGTGTGTGTGTGTGTGTGTGTGTGTGTGTGTGTGTGTGTGTGTGTGTGTGTGTGTGTGTGCATCAACACATACATACCTACATGCATGTAAGCTTATATCATCACAGCACCGACATTATAAACTAAAACGCTATCAGTCCGTCATCAGATAAGAAATGTCAGTGTCCATTGCCTTGAAAGCTGAACAAAGTCACTGCAATCTTACAATCTGTTGTACACTATAAGTATGGATATGATTTAAGCTATCATATAGATTTTATGAAATAGCATTTACACTCATGATGGGACAGCAGTTCACCACAATGTAAACTGATTTCTCGTAAAAAGGGAAAGGAACATGCTAATGAAATCGTCACTTGCACAATGCAGTGAACAAACAGCCACATAGAAACAACATTCCGACACCCTAATATTGTAGTGTGTAAGATCTTTAAGAAGCTCTGTATGAGTGGTTCCCAAACCTTCCAGGCTGGTGCCCCCTTGCCTCCGGTGGATTCCTTATGTACGCGTTCGAACACATACCTTTTTTATTTTGGTATACTTCAAACTGGAAACATTAAAACCAAATAAAACCTAATATAGTAAACCATATATATATATATATATATATATATATATATATATATATATATATATATATATATATTTATATATATACACACACACACACACACACACACACACACACACACACACACACACATATATATATATATATATATATATATATGTATATATATATATATATATGTATATATATATATATATATATATATATATATATATATATATATATATATATATATATATATATATAAACAATTCACACTCGCACACAACAAATACTTATGCCTCTCCTTGTTATATCGAAACAGGAAAAGCAGAGGAGCCGACTTTCCAGGACAACCTCGCCGACTTCAGAGGCTATGACGCTGCCCGGGTTGACTTCATGCACGGTGTTGATGTCAGTGGAGAGAAAGAGAGAGAGAGAGAGAGGGAGAGAGCGAGAGAGAGAGAGAGGGAGAGAGAGAGAGAGAGAGAGAGAGAGAGAGAGAGAGAGAGAGAGAGAGAGAGAGAGAGAGAGAGAGAGAGAGAGAGAGAGCGAAGAGAGAGAGAGAGAGAGAGAGAGAGAGAGAGAGAGAGAGAGAGAGAGAGAGAGAGAGAGAGAGAGAGAGAGAGAGAGAGAGAGAGAGAGAGAGAGAGAGAGAGAGAGAGAGAGAGAGAGGGAAAGAGAGAGAGAGAGAGAGAGAGAGACAGAGAGAGAGAGAGAGAGAGAGTTGTTGTTTATACTATGATTATCCTAATTTCATTATCAATACCAATGTCAATATACAATAAATGAATAAAAATATTCCCGAAAATCAAAGTAGAAAGTAAATAGATGAAGTAGGTAGGCAGAAATTTCACGTTTTTTCATCATCTTTATGGGAAGCCAGATGTACGACAAGTCTTCGTTTCTTTTCGCAAATGCTAGCGTGCTGTGGTGTTCTGAAATCCACTTTCATGATACGATTGTCCGTCACTTAGCAAATGTTCTGTCTTGGAAACAAAATCGTGAGGAGTGATGATATGGAAATCAGTATTGAGGTAAGGTTGGTTGGACGCTGAGATTTGCGAAATATAATTATTTCGAATATGTTTGTTCTGAGTTTGGAAAGGAAAAGAAAGGAGAGTTGTTTATTTATCTGTTTCCTTAGTTGGTTCATCATTTATTTCAGTAAAGAAATTGTAATTATTTTGATAAAGAAAGTAAAATCATCTTAAAGAAAGTAGAATTATTCTAATAAAGAAAAACAATGTTAATAAAGAAAAGGAATATGTCAATAAAGAAAATGTGATTATTTTGATAAGAAAGTATAATTGATAGAATAAAAAAAGCGAATTAGTATAATCAGCTTAATATAGCTTGACGAGAAAGTGTAGTTAGTATCATTAGTTTAATAAGAAAGTGTGATTGGTTTAATAAAAGGTTTTGATTAGTTTAATATGTCAGTGTTGACTTTTTATAAGAAAGTGTGATTACTGTTATTAGCTTGATAAAAAGGGTAATTAGAACTAAGAAAGCGTGATTTATTTAATAAGAAAGTGTGATTAGTTTTATACAAAAGTGTCATTAGCTTGATAAGAAAGTGTAATACGTATCAGTAGCATTGTAAGAAAGTATCATTGGTTTAATAAGAAAGTGTGATTAGTGATTAGCTTGCTAATAATTGTTTCATGAAAATAAAGTTTGATAAAAAAATGCAAATGATGTAAGAAAGTATAAATAGTATAATTTGTTTTTTAAGAATCCGTAGTTTGTTCGAAAGTGTTTAATAAGAAAATACAACTGGGTCGATGAAATACAATAATTTGTTTAATAAGGAAGTATATTCAGTTTAATAAACAGGGTGTAATTAATGAATGAAAGTAATCCGGGCTGCTGCACGTTTCCAGACAATCCCAACTGCACTTACACAGATAAAACACTCTAAATATTTACCCTTTCTTGCCCTCTAACCTACACTCAGACAGATGCAAGTCATTAAAACACTTTCCCGTTTCGCCTTTTCACCTAAACTCAAATTTAAATAGATTAAACACTCTTCAACTATTTTCCTTTTCTCGTCCTTTTACCCTAAACTCAAGACAAATTCGGACAGCCGGAACGCTATTTAAATATTCCCTCCCTCCTCACGGCCCTCTCTTCCAGGTCGTTGTCAAGGAAGCATACGCATTCGTCGAGAGAGAAGCGGGCATGCCATGAGCTCCGGTTCCCATTGACAGCGGCGAGAACCAGCCCCGGACTTTGTGTCGAGTGACTTCGAGACAAACTCCGAGAAGCTCCTGCGGATCGTCCAAGGGGGCAGGGCGGTGCGAGCGGGACAGTGGTCATGTATGTTAGTTGCAGGGATCAGTGTTTGTTGTTCTGGTTCATGTTAGTCGTTGGGGTTTTTGTTACTTCCTGGGTTCAGTGTTTGGTGTTGAGGTTCTTGTTAGTGGCTGGAGTTCAATGTTTGCTGTTCTGGTTCATGTTAGTCGTTGGGTTTCTTGCTAGTTCCTGGGTTCAGTGTTAGTTGTTCTGGTTCATATTAGTTGCTGGGGTTTTTGATAGTTGTCGGATACGGTCTATTGTGGACTTATCAGGAGTGAATCCAGATTGCTCCGGCTTCTGATGCCTCCGCAGATGGGCTCTGATACGTCTCAGAAGGATGTGAGCAAGAACCTTGCCTGGTATACTGAACAGTGTAATGCCTCGGTGGTTGCTGCAGTCCCACCGATCCCCTCTCCCCTTCCAGAGAGGGATGACGCACTCCTCCGCAGGTCAGGGGGAATGGTACCAGTATGCCAAATGCCAGACAGGACAGCATGCAAGCCCCTTCCTAGGTTCTTTACCAGCCTTTAACAGTTCAGCTGGGATGCCGCAGACGCCCGCTGCTTTGCCACTCCTCAGCCCCCGCCTCAACTAATTCTGCGTGGTCTTTTCTTCTTCTCCTTTCCCTTTCCCTCTCTTCTTCATCCCCTTCTTCTGTCTACTAATTGTTAACTCAGTTTTACCCTTTTTGCCACAATATTCTACAGTAATGCTGTATGACCCTTGATGTCTGGTACCTTTATTTGTTTTGGCCATTCATCATTCTGGAAATCTACAAACATCGCCTTATGAGACAAAAAAACGGGGGTTTCGCTCCAAACCCAAACTATCGCTATATTTTGAACACGCCGCTGATGAAGGCTGAAGCGGCAAAAATGTTCAATGGATAAATTAATAAAAGATCTAAGGTAAGAAAAGGTAAGATAAACACACGCACATTCACGCGCGCGCTCACACATATTAAAAGCTGATACATTACAGAAAATGGGTTTGCTGCATCCATTTTCTTTTGTGTTTTTTTTTATGAAAGCCTTATATTTTATATATATAATTTTGTTTTTTTCGGGGGGAGGGGGATGTTGCTGTTTCTTGGTGGTAACTTTTTATTTATATGCTATTACTAACAGATATTTGAATTTCGTTCTGAATCTGTATGCTTAATCATCCCCCTTATTCTGTTCTTCACATTTTCCTACTTTTTTGCTATTTTTTTTCTCCTCTTTCTCTTTCTCTATTCTCCCCTTCCCTCTTCCCCTCACATTTCTTCCTTCTCTCCCTGGCCCTCCTCTCCTCCTTTATCTCGTTTACTTCGCCTCTCCATCCACACCATTTATCCATTTGTCCTACGTACTCTTCATCGCCTCCCCCCCCGCCTCTTCCT